CCCCCTAGTAGCGTCCTTGCTCCTAGTAGTAAGGCCAAGAGCCCCCTAGTAGCGTTCTTGCTCCTAGTAGTAGCGTTCTTGCTCCTAGTAGTAGCGTTCTTGCTCCTAGTAGTAAGGCCAAGAGCCCCATAGTAGCGTTCTTGCTCCTAGTAGTAAGGCCAAGAGCCCCCCAGTAGCGTTCTTGCTCCTAGTAGCGATGCCAGGAGCGCCTAGTAGCTTTATTTTTACTAGACGATCGTTATCTTGTATTTCTTTCTTTGGGAATGAACTCCCATCCGGCTTCGCTGGGTCATGGGCGTCAAGTCCCGGCATGGTTCCAGTTTCTGGCCGGCCAAAAGATTTTGTCGGAAACATTGACACCATTGTGAATCTATGCCGCGCTGAATCCCACACAATGGATCACAGGTAGCGGTCAGGTAGCCGCTGAAGCAAACAGCCGGTAAAGCCCGCTGCCCCATCGATACTCCCATCGATCTCAATATTGATGCTCAAATGAGGAGCTCGGCTGAACCCAAAGTGTCAGGTCTTCAAAACAAGACCCACAGCCAGCCTCCAAGAACCTTCGAGAACTCATAGAATGGACACAGGACACATATTGTAAGACGTAGAATTTAGAAGAACATTTGCGCAAACACCGATTTCAACCATCGTTTGGGACAAACAACGTCCAAAGGCCAACTGAACTAGTTGTCTCCGAAACTGTGGAAACCTCATTCGCCCATCCTATTCTAAGAAACATCTTTTGCGTCCCTTCGTTCTTGCTTTATCATTGTCTTTCTTATTCTTCTTCAGACATTGACTAATTCCTTTCTTTGTTTTGCAAATTCATTTTTATGTGTTTTTTCCACCCCGCCAGCTGCGCCCTCACCTCACAACCCACCAGCTCTGAGTCGGCGATGCACTCCTCGCAACGAAGAACAAAATGCCACATGGCACCGCGCGGCGTGCGTGAAATACCAGAAAGGATGCAACATTAAAACACAAACCATGAGTGATGATTTTCACCAAAAATCCCAACACATCAACAAACATGTCTTCATCTGACTGCGCAAACGTTTTCACAGACCAATCGAGACAACGGACCCTCCTCGCCCACTCTACAGCGCTTGATGGCAGTGCCTGCGTAGCCCTGACAAAGAGGGCGCTGGGCACCGGCTGAATTCAGAACGTTGGAGGTAGAGGTGACAAGACATGTCCTTTTTAAATAAGGGGTAGGCCTAGGTAGAGTAGCTAGTAGCTAGGTAGCTAGTACCTGACTTAAGCTACTTGTATGGACACGGGATAGCTCACGCTTCAAGGAAGCTCCCTCAGCGGCCCTGAAGGCGGGGGAAACTTCTTTGAAGCGTTCGCACTAATGATTTGGTTCCTAATAGCGTCCTTGCTCATAGTAGCGATGCCAGGAGCCCCCAGTAGCTTCTTGTTACTACTAGTA